TCAGTCCAAACTATATACAAAATTCTCTGAAAGCCCTTGCCCACATTAAAAAGAGAATATCTATACAAGCATTACAAAATGTGAAACAGAAACTGTAAAAAAATATAAAACATAAGAAAAGTCTTTCAGTTTGTATGATAAAAAATCTGGCAATGGCTTAATCAACCAAATAACATTCGTGCATACAATTCTGTTTTGTAAAGCCTGACTGAAATGGCCAGCTGCCCACAAGGATCACCTACCCTAATGCTGGGGTACTGATAACCAAATACCACAGTGACACACACCAGCACACACAACCTTCGCCGTGACTGAGGCCGTTAGTGCCTCATCTGGCTCATGGGGGTGCCAGGACAGCTATGTACATCTATGGACTTCACAGCTCTACAGCAATGACATAATTATGGACTGACACTCACTGGTCAAAGTAAAATATATTAAAAATTATGGGATGCTTATTGGTGTATAAATATATATATACTGTATATATACACACAATATATATATTTGTATGTTTTAGAGTCTACTTACAAGTTGCATTTAATCTCAAAACTCGGATCAAGTGTTTGAGTTATGAGGCAGGATAATAAAAACAATGTACTGGCATGTAAGTAAGCCAAACCCACTCGACATTCAAAGGTTTGCATTACAATCATCTATTGCCAACATTTGCCCTATACACTTTAAGTAATATTTCTGCCGAGCTGTGAAACGTTAGGAAGCAATACAATCACACTTGAATCCTCAGGCACTAGGGTTGTCTCGCCTGCTGCCAGGAGACACATTAATTGGAAGGAATGATAGGAACTAAAGTCTTGATCAATTTGTTAAAAGATTTCTTCTGCACAAACCACGGAAAACAACACACTCAGCCATATCTCTTTGGAGAAAGGAAAAAGAAGGCTAATTATTTAAAAAAGGTAAAAGACAGACACTCCAATGACAGGAGACTGGTGTTCCCAGTGGATGTAGAAGTTACGCAACCATCTCTTGAATGGGAAGGCAGCAAGCAGAGACTGGGACACCTCCCTTAAATGCTAGTCACTGAGTGTTACCACTGATATATGACTGAAAATTACAACAGATAATCCAGCAATGTACAAAGCTTGGTGATGAAGGAGGAGACTTTCACATATGTTACACAGTGGGAAAATCTTGTTCAGGGATGGTAATGCACCTGGTTTTCCTTACCACAACATTGGAAAACAGCCTCATTGAAATCCCTGATGCTCTGCCTATAAAAATGGCTGGCTGGCAGTTTGTGAGGGAGAGATAAAGAGAGAGAGAGAGAAAGAGAGAGATAGATACAAATAATTTGGCTGAACTGCATCAACAGGTCTACACTAACAGCTCACTAGGGAGGCTGCAAATGCACTACTTTCCAAGATCATCTCAGTGCATAATACATAAAAGAGACTGGTTCCCTAGGGACAAGAGGTCAGGCTAGTGTATCAAAGCACAAGATAAATTATACTTCCACTCCTACCATTCTTCAGATCACATATAAATGACAATGACTTTAACTTGAGGCAATGTATGAATCCAGAAGACACAGGTCACTTGGACTAAACTAATTTTACATCACAAAATGACCAATGAGAAGTGAGTCATGTAATACAGAAAATTAAATAAGAATTTTCATTAATGGCACAATCACTGCCTGAAGGAAAAAAAAATTTGGGAGCTCTGACATATCCAATTGTGCAAGGCATATATGCAAGCGTCAACACAGGCTGTATTATAACCACAATCATAAATTTTACTTAATTTACTAAAAAATCTTTGATTTCCCAGAATCAACATTTGGCAAAATGGTACATTTATTACTCGGCTAATCAAATTGTACAAAAATACAATACAATACTTTCTCTATAAACAAGGATATCTTATAGTACTTAGACGTGTAAGTTAAAATACTTTTTTGTGTTGATATCTTAGAATGTGTACTTCAGGAACAAAGCCACTTCTTGAGAGACAATACGCGCAACAAATATGCAAGAGCTGAACTGCTTTCCAGTCACATTACTAACTCCAATAAAATAGTGTGTGTATATATAAAAAAAATGAGGAAGAATAAGTGACATTATCAAGTGGAAGTTTTCCTTTTCCACTTAATGAATTTTTACAAGTTTTATATCATACTTTGGATAAAATCTAAGTATCATAATATTTCATAGTTCAGCACTTATCAATGAAATTACTCTCTCTTCAATATGAAGATGAAGTTTCATTACCATCAAAAAAGGACGAACAACACTTCTAGACCATTCTAATGTCAACAATACACTGTACTATCACTACAGCTTAAAACAATGAGGTTCAAGTACTGTACTATTACTCCATTCAACATGAAAAATTAAGAATAAAAAACTCTTCCTGACACATTCTTTCACATACAAAGTGGGACATTTCTTAAGATCTCTGTAAGATACACGTAAAGCACTGCTTCTCTGTCCGGTGAAAAATTGAGAGTGCATGAACCCTGTGACAAAAGAAGGAGAATTAGGAAACAAATGTAGATACATGAGCAAACAGGACCCATGAGAGAGAGACAGAGAGGAAAAAAAAAGAGAAAAAGGAAGCAAGGATGATAGGAGATGGTTTAAATGTGGTGGACCATCTTTTCCTCATAAAATATTTACAATAACAATCTAAAGCTTATGTCTCAGAACAGACAAATCTTATGGCCTCGCAAAAGCTATTTTTGCTGTTTTACTGACTTCAATTTGAAGGTATGCGCAGACTCACAACGAGTTCCTATTTATATAGATGATAATATGAAAGAACAATATTTATAAAATGATTCTATCTAAATTCTGGTCTTAATTTATTCTGGACAGTATTGAAAGCTTGAAAATATTTTAGGTAAAATGAACAAATGAATAAACTATTCAACTTGTGTAGTAATAGAAGTCAACATCTTGCAGCATTCCTAAGCACTTTCAGAATAATACAAAATCTATAATAAGACTTTCTAAAATGTATTCATTCTAGGTATGGATTCATGATTGACAACAGATTTGATAAATAGAGCAAATTTCAACTCTTCCAAAACTTTAACTGGGCCAAAGCTTTCTGGTTTGGAGTCAGTCAGTCAAAATCAACATGAAAAAGTGGAAAAAAGGAAGGGGGGTGGGGGGAGAAAGACAAGTATCACACAAGTAGTGGAATGAAAGGGGGGAAAATAATGAACTCGGTCATCTGTTACCCCTCAGGAACCTGCCTCCACAGGCCTATCCTAATAAGCTCACACACCAGATGGCATATGGGGGAAAATCACAACGGTCATCGGACTTCTGGCTCAAACCCTCATAGGTCTGAAACTCTTCACGTGTCAAAAAAAAAAAAAAAAAAAAAAAAAAAAAAAAAAAAAAAAAAAAAAAAAAAAAAAACTATAGTCACCTATAAAACCTGTGAGTACGAATAACTTTTTCTTCCTAAAAAATAGTATCATAACATAAAAATGGGGATGGGAGGGGGTAGGGGTGGGCATCAAGAGAAGATAAAAAAAAGGACAAATATGGCAGTTCTGAAACCATTCATACTCATTCTTAAAAGTTTTTGAAAATGGCTCCTTTAGATGAAGGATCAAAAATGCTGTAATGCACAAAAAAAAAGGGGAGGGGGGAGGGAAGACTTCGTAACATCTCAAACAATTCTTTCAACTTATTGGTGATATTTAGTCATTTTCATATACAGAATGAAATAACTTTACTGAATAGAGATTTTAACTTGCATTTTACTTAAAGCAATGAATACCTTCTCAAGCAGGTCAATATTTACAAGATTTTAGTATAAAACCTATTATATGATAAGGACACTGCATCGCACACACACCCCAGAATTCTCTTTATCCAATCTGCAATGGTATCTTTATAGTATAGTTTACTGCTGCTGGTGGATATGAGGTACCAGACCTCTCCTGACAGGAAGAGTTGCTCTACAATTCCATTAAAAAGGAAATAATAATAAATATATAATATCATTTACAATTATATTTAAATGAGGTCTAGAAATTTCAAGTAAGTCCTTTTCTTTCTGACTATTAAGTTTGGCTTCTGAAACACTTATCTTCAACAGTCTAAACGCATGGACAAGAGTGGAGGACAGCTTACCTACGTATAAAATTGTTACAGATAATATTAGAAACATATACAAAATAAGGCTTTCTTGTACCAAAAATTCTTTTAGCTTTCCACTTCATCAGTGATTCAGCAAAATATCATAATTATTGTTATCCTCATGTCACACTACTGGGTCTTACACCTGAATGAAAGTATTTTTGGGATTATACAAAGTCCGTAATTGCAACTAACTAGGGCAGTTAAGGCACTTGCCTACATTATGCTCAAACCAAGAGTAATCACTCTACACTGCAAGTCCATTCAATAGTGTTATAAGTGACTACTGTCAATTCACTGTTCACTGTTTTGTTCAATCACATTCCTTTTTCATGTGCATGGAGGGATTGCGTCACTTTTTCCATCAAGTCAATTTCTAAGTGAAAACATTGCATATTATCACTTTGATTTTGAAAATTATCACTAGTTAAGCAATCTCAACCAAACCATATTAGGCTTGCATGTCTAAATCAAAACACACTGGCAACTAGCATTTACTATTTTCTGCTTAAATTGGAGTTGGGGGGCAAAGTTGCAGATTTCTGTACAACGAAGGGACGGTAGGCTGATCTGGTGGACTCTCTGGAAGGCAAAAGAATCACAATCAATATCAACTATCTATCAGAATATCAATGGCATTGGTAATTCACATAGGTAACTTTATTTGGAGTTGGTTAAAGGACAATTTCATTTCTCTTGTATTGTGCAGGAAACAGTTGTGATTCCCTCATACTAATAACTGAAAGGATATATATATCTTTGGACTGTTATTTCTATATTTACACAAGAATCTTTCCTGCTTTTTAAAAATGTTTAAAGTGAGAAAGTCAGACAAATTAGAGTACTAACTTTAATGATAAAAAAAAAGTTATGAATCATACTACTGATAACCATACGCCTTAAGAAATCCTTTTTTTTTTTTTTTTCTTAACTGATTAACTAACTTTTCCTCTACTACTGTAAGTATACATCAACTGAATTCAAGAATAAACTATACTTTAAACCTAGGTAAATAAATAAAGTAAATATAGCCTGAAATATTCTTTATACAGGATCTATACAAACTTTATTATGAAAAAATCATAAATGTATCTGAGAAAGCAAAACAATTAGAATATCTTATGAAGAAAAATATACATTATATATATATATGTAAATATAAGTATATATGTATATATGTATATATATATATAAATATATATATGTAAATATATATATATGTATATATGTATATATATATGTATAATATATATATATATATATATATATATATATATATATATATATATATATATATATATATATATATGTATGTATATATATGTACATATATGTATATATATGTATATATATGTATATATTATGTATGTATGCATATATATATAATATATATATATAATATAATATATATATATAATATAATATATATATATATATATAATATATAATATATATATATATATATAATATATAATATATATAATATATATAATATATATAATATATATAATATATATAATATATAATATATATAATATATAATATATATATGCATATGTATACATATATTTATATGCATGTATACATATAAGTATATAAATGAATACATATATGTATATATGTATGTGTGCGTATATATATATATATATATATATATATATATATATATATATATATATATATATATATATATATATATATATGTACATTTGCTAAAAAAAAAGTATCTTTACTCAGGAGTAGAAAAATGAAAAAATCGCTAGGAGCTGATCCAGAAAGGTTGGCATTGGTCAATTTCAAACCAACGAAGACACTAAGTTTCATAATGTGTTTGAATAGTGTTATGGAATTGATATGGCTGAGGCCTTCTATCAAGGCAATATTAGCAACAGAGAAATTACAGACAATTGCGCTTTACTGTGACACCAAGAAACCAGGTCCATCCGAGACAAGGCGAAGAAGTGGGTCCCCTAGATGCATGACGGAAGAAGATCAAGTACGAGTCATTCAAATCCATTAATCAATGTGCTATATGAAATACAAGTAGCTGACTGGGTTGAGAAGAGGCGTGACCTGTAGTAGAGCCATGTCCCCATACCCTGAGTCAGTTTGTTATTATTTATTTATTTTCATAATTTTTTTTGACCCAATGTAGTGCTCATCTTTATTTTATCTTTTTTTGTGTGGGAAATGGTTCTGCAAGTGTTTAGCTACAAAGGAGTCACTTGGTAGACCTTGTGAAAAAGGGTAACTGGCTCATTGGTGACTTAGTACAAGTGTAGCCATCTATGTGTAAAAACAATTAATAAAGTAATCTCACAGTGGGTATGGCATGTACATACATGCCATGTATGACGGCAATGGGTTAAGTAGGCAATAACTGCTATAAGGAATATGGACCCTTTTTGTTCTGCTAACAAAATCTGGCAGGACTTGACATTATGCTGCAGCATGCAGACTGTGAGAAACCACTAGGGTGGGGGAGTTGACAGATGTTGAGACTGGCAGATTTAGAGAGCCTGCCTATGTGGAAATCCTGGATGAGGTGTTTCTACCATAAGTGGAGGCCACGGTGTTCAAATAAGCAGTGTCGTTCAGGAATGGTTTTGGCAACATCTTGAGATTAGACTGTACCATATCCACCTAAATTGCCAGATCTCTATCTGGGCAGCCATGGGAAGACACTTTCTCCAAGATCAAACCAGCAATTGTCATATCGTCGACGCCCTAGCATTTACAGTATGGGAGCAATTACGCTCTGCAAGCAGATGTCAGTTAACAGGAGCTTTAGTGGCATCCATGCCATGTAAACTAGCCAGTGTTCACCAAGCTGATAGCGGTAACACAAAGTATTAAAAATATTCAGTTTGCTTGAAATGTCAAACAACATTACCATGGAATTCATTTAGGACTCAAGTTACTTGGATCATACATGACATTATGTGAACAAGGATACCAATTTCAGGTTGATTTCACAGTACTTTTTCCCCAAAGTTTTTGCTGTCATATATTGTTGTCAGAGAGTAAAGATAATTTTTTTAGCGAGTGTACATACATAAAAATAAAAAGTAACAATTAAGCATCAAATATACAAACATCAAACTTATGCAGCTTCATGCTATAGTATATGCATGATTCTTCAGTATGAGAATCAGCCTTTTGGATGACGGTTTTACAACAGATTCAAAAGTTTCCAGTTTCATTCTCCTAACTACACTATACACACTATGAGAAATGGCAAAATCCATTACATCATATGCTAAATAAGGCTTTACGGTAAATTGCATTTAAATAAATTCAGTTTTATACTAAGCAAGGAGCACTTAATGTTTACTCATGTAAATGATTATTCATAAATTGTCAATAATATCGGTCTCCT